ATGCCAGAGATCCAAAACAAGTGAATAAGATGGCATCTCTAGGCCACCATGTAGAAATATGAGAAGTGTCTCACCCAAGGATACCTGTTCCAAAGAACAGATGTGTCAAGACATCCAACTTTAGCTGATGTGATCTTTAAGCCACTGTCTCTAAAATTGGTTTGGTTTACTATGATAAAAGGACATTTTGTTGTTTTTCTCTAATTCTTACAGAAGTCACCAGAAGACATAGGAAAACTCTAAGTTTCCTTTACAAAGTTAAGTTCTTAGTGAAGAAAAACAAAAATATTTAAATTTTTTTAAAAAGTCAAATATATTGATTATCTAAAGAGTGGGATGTAAAGAGCCATAGAAACAATGAACCTCATTGCAGGGATGATGAAAGCCCTCATGAAATGAGCATATGCATGTGAGGAGCAGTAGGGGACATGAGTGGGGTTTTAGGCACAAGATGACTAGGGAAGGCACCCAGCTCAGGAAATAGTGTGAGCACTGCAGTGGGGACTCTGGGAGCTGGGAGGCTTTCCCACCACAGAGTTATACACCTCAGTATAAAAGCGTGGCTGTGCTGAGTTTTGATGTTTAATGACAGGCAGAGATAGCAAACTCATTTCCCTGAGCAACTCCATGAGAGCTGCCCATTAGCGGGACATGATGCAGACTTAGTGTACAGGGGGAGTATCAGAAGAAGGAGCCTTATGGGCGATGTTACCATGGTATTTCCAGGAGGTGCCTCTTGACTGAATCAGGGGACAGTCAGGAAATTATGAAGGAGGGTAACAACTGTGAAATACTGGGAGGTGGTACCTGGCTTATACATGATCATTGAGAGCTCTCACTCCCTTCCTTTACTGACCGCCAAAGTAGTCACAGACCTTCCCTGTATAGTCTGGCACCCATTCCCAGTCCTAGGACCCTTCATCCCTGCCTTACCTTATTTTCTTCATAGCACTTTCCATCAGTGGACATATGTACTTATGTGCACACAGTTTGTCTCTTCCAACTTCTCTTCAAGCTGTTTGACGGCAGAGACTCGGTCTGATTTGGAATCTAGTACCTATTCAACATAGTTACTTAATGGAAATTTACTGAATGAAACCACAGTGTTACCAGCATGGAAGCATTTTTTGCCTCTCTAAGGTCAAAGAAGTCCAAATGTAAAATAGAAGACAGTGAGTTTCTGACTGCTAGATTGATGTATGATCAGGTGGGACATCTTGCTGAATGAAATGCTGTAGTGAATAACATGGTCTTTTGAGGATCTTTGCCAAATGTCAAAATCTACATGACTAATCACTGAGCCTTGGAAATGGAGTGTTCTAACATCACACAGTGGGTTGATGTGCATACTCTGGAGCTAGCTTGCAAATCCTGGCTTTGCCACTTCCTGTCTGTGTCATCTCAGGCTCCTTTGTATCTCTCATATTTCCCAGGTCTCAGTTACGTGAAGTGTTTTGTTGTTCTTCAGTCATTGTATGATATCACCAAACAGAATGATACACATGTAATATTCTAGAACTGTGCTGCCCAATATAGTGGCCACTAGTTACATGTGGCTATTTACATTTAAATTATTGCACTTAAGCAAAATTTGAAAGCAGTTCTTCTGTCTCATTAGTCACACTTCAAGAACTAGGTAACAACAGATGACTGGTGGCCACTGTATTGCATAATGCAGACATAGAACACTTACATTCTTGCAAAGATTTGCCCTGGACAGTGGTATTCTACAAACTGGAGAAATTCACTGATTCTACTGGCTTTTAAAGAAAATAACCAGCTTCTTACATAACTGACACAACTTTCCAGGTAGATGTCAACTGTGTTTACAAACATGCTTTCCAATTCTAAAATGTTTTCCTTAGTTTTGTGTTTTTCTTCATGCATAGCTTTACCACGATGATCTCACAAGTTCATTTTGCTTCTCTTTGAATCAGTGGGCTAGAACATCTGGCAACCAAAATACTCCAGAATCTCCATCTGTTCTAACCATCGTGAAGCAATAACTAGTGATGGTTAGAAACAAGCAATAACTAGTGAAGGTTCTCAGAAAACCTCTAAAGTTAGAGTAGCATGTTGCTTTTGAGAATGCCTTGAAAACTTGGGCTTTTCAACCTTGTAGCTCACTGTGTTGCTGCCTATTGTGTGCTGGCAGTCTGTCCTATATATTTAGATCCAGAGTGAGTTAGCATTGCCCCCAGCTTCAGGATGAAAAGTCATTTATCAAGGTAGAGAAAACATGAGCAGTGTTGAGTTAATAAGCAGTATTTTCTGACATAGAAACTATCTGAATATTTTAAACGCAGTATGAACTCTCTTACAGGTCATTTAAATGACTGTTGATTTATTCCCAGCAAAGTCATTACTTGGAAGGCATTTGTACCCTAACACAAGTTGGCTTTGTATTTAGAAAACACTTAGAGTTGCACATAAATTGCAGTATGGGGAAATTTTCTAACTTTAACAGCCTTTTGTAAGATTTAAATGTGATTTGTATGTTTATAAACATTTTTAAAAAGGCAGCTGCTTTCAGATAGCAGTTACCTAGGGAGAGAAAAGGCAAATTGATACAGTATGATTGGTAGTCATTAAAAAGTCAACACTCTCTCCTTATTTACGTTTTTGCATTAGAATAAGTGACTTTTATGTGGACAAACACAAAGAAAAGGAAGCTTGTCTATATTAAATTATGCTTAGAAGAAAATTTGATTTGAAGAACATTAGCAAATTGCAGTTACTCAGAACTATTGCTGTTACTATGAACTGTCTTTCAGAGCTTAGAAATGTTCTTATTATATTCATTTGAAATGTTAACCAGATTATATTGGTAGGTTTCTTCCAAGAATGTACCCTGCTATTGTCAAAGCACTTCTTACCCTTAGCAACATAACCTAAAGATCCAGGGGCAGGATCAGAAAAAATGATCATCAGCAAGAAGTTAAATGTAGCAAATCACACACACACATCAGGGTTGTAGCCACCACCCTAGATTCTTCCCAGAAATGCCCATTCAAGCCTAGATAGGTTCAGACTGTAGCAGCCTTGACAATAACCATCTATGTTGTAAACTTTTTTGCTTTTTCCAGGACAAATATCCAATGCACATGTGGAACTTTTATGGGCAAAGATGATCTCGAATCTACCATTGGGAAATGAAGTTATCAGGGGCCCAGAATCAGTAGTTGTGGGGTGACAAAAAAGAAATGATGCAAAACCATCTTTGGAGGTGCACTTCAGCTATTTCTAAGTGTAAACCCTATTTTCTGCCTTCACCCCTGGAGCTCCTCATCACCTGGAAGGCCTGAATCTAGAAGTAGCATGTTTTGTAGCTCATGCATGACTCACTGTGTCATTTAAGTTTGTCAGTCAATGGAAACCAGAAGTCCGGAGTCTCTGTCCAGGACACTCCCTGGGGAAGCTATTAAGAAGAGGACAGCCTTGCCAGATGTTTCTGTCCAGCTGTCCTAACTGGCATGTCCAAGGGCATCTGCTTATGCTCAGGGCCTGGCGTGAGGAGAGGGGCCTTAGAAGAGTGCTCAGAAGGTTTGCCTTAGTCTTCCCACAATTAGCCATGGACAACAAGCAGGAGAGAAAACAGACTCAGCTACTAAAAAAGCCACAAGGAAAGCAATAACTACCTTAAAACAAATAGGTAAAGAGATATTAAAGTTTCCCATTGCACCAAAGCCTGTGTTTACTATTGGCTTTAGTGGGATAAATATGGTTTAGTGGAAAATATATCACATTTGAGAGCAGAAATTTTGGATTTATTTTCCAACCTGTTCTTAGAATTAGGAACTTAAATTCTCCAATAATCTGTCTGAAATTCATTTCTTTACCTGTGACATGGAGAAAACAAAACTTGTCTTGCTCTAATGAGCCTTTGGTTAACCATAAAGCATCTGAAGGCACTTTATGACCATTACAGAAATGCCAGCTAATAATCTTTTTTTACTATAAAATGTGTATTTTTAAAAACCAGAAACCTCTTCCCAAGTTCCAAAGTTGTATTTCCACCTACCTTGCAAGACTTTCCAGATGGTAGGTGAGTTGAGATACCCACGCAACTCTTCAAGTAGACAGGTAGTGCCCGGCATTGGCATCACCTTGGCAAGATGATGCCAGTTGTAGAATCCTTCTTAGGGAGTTGAACACTGCTTTATCCAACATTTCCAATTAATTGCTGATCTGGTCCTCAAACCAAATTTATGGAAAAGGCAAATACACACTCTTCTAGTAAAAGCCTGGTTCTTCTGGCTCATTTTCTCTATCAGTGACAGTTATGGTTACAGGCTATAGAGGTTTCATATTAGATATTTCTTTCCCTTCTCCCCATCTTAATCACAATTTTTCTTTTCCTTCTTATACCCTAGTGTCTCATACACCAAACTTGAACCTAGTTTGGTTGTGCGACCTAGAACAATGTTCTTCCCTTGATTGGGGCTTGGCATTCTGCTCAGTGATGTGAGAACATACAACTTTCAGATCTGCTGTGAGAATTTAAGACTGTTTCCCAGATGCGAAGCACACATTAAGTTAGTTCTAGCTTCTAGCTTAGCTGAAGGACTCACTGATGTCCAATCATGTGCAGTCTTTCCCATTTTTACCTCCAATATCTTCAACTTTGTTCTTCATTTTTCCCTGCCCCCATTTCTGCCTAACAAGATGCATCCCTCACTGACCATCTTTCAAAGGAGAGATGCTTGTTTCTTCTGAACTACAGAATATTCTTGTGGATTTGTTTCACAACTCGTGAGGCAGTTGATATTACTACGGGACACCGGTATTTCATATATCAGCTCTTTCCATAAATTTTATTGTGAATCTTCTTTACGCATTTCATTTACTCAATAACTAGTTTTCTGATACTTGAAAGGAATGATCACTTAATCAGTTAACCAACAGCTAATATCTAGACCTGGCACAAACCATGGAGAGATTCAAATGTGATTTAATTAAGGAACCCCTTAAACACAAGATAAGACCAAAGACACTTCATATTTTGTGTGCAGATTTTTTTTTAATGAACATCTTATAATCTTACAAAATAACTGGCTGTAGCTGTTTTACATTACAATACAGTAGATCAGCTCCTTTCACTATATTTTTAATCAAACTATCCCCTTGGGTGCTAACTGACACACGTAATAGTGATCGCACAGAACAGAAGTACCAAGTCCAGTGTAATGGAGGAAAGGGAAGGAGAGACCCAAAAGTAACTTTCTGCTTCTTTTTTTAATTGACCAGAATCCATCTGTTCTTCTCACTGAGCCCTCCCTTCTTGTGTCTCTTTGATTGGTGGCCATAATGTCAGTCAGTAAGAGTCAGCCACCCCCAGGCTCCTCTCTTTACTTACTAGATAAAAGAGACTGAAGAGATCAGGAACAAAGAGACAGAGGAGCCTCTGGGAAAGGCTCTCAGTGTCTCCATGAGTGGGTAAGAGCAGAAGAATGCAGGTCACCACATGGAACAAGTGTGAGCTGCTGCTGTTGGAATCTGTGATTGTGGTGTCTTAATCCTTTGACTTTGTGAGTGACTTGAGTTCCTAGAAACACTAGGATTTGGGGACAAGGACTGGAAAAACATGCCTCCTATGAATGTCCATAGCTAACTACAGCTGGGTGGCTCTCAGCCTGATGGGCTTTCCCACACAACAAAAACTGCCTTCTCTCTTTTTCCGGAGCAGTTGTGGACTACACATGCTGTCAGCAGGGTGCAAAATATTTTAAAATGAAGTACAACACAGGCATGTGCTCGTTATTACTCTGATGAAGAGACTGAAGAGAGATACACACGGGCACTAACCACAGATTTCATGTTCTTCTGGAGACTGCAGCCTCCCTGAGCTGGGCATTGCCTAGAGTAGCTCTTCTCCCTCAGTTGGAGGCAGGATTGCCCAAGGCAGAACTTGACACATGCCCAGGCATTTGGATTTGTTCCCCGAGAAAACAATTTTACAATGTGTTTTTTTTTTTTTTCATTTTTTTTTTAAATCGAGAATCTAAACTTTTCCACTGTTCTTTCCATTTTATATCCTATTAGGATCCCAGAAAAACATTTTTTTTTATTTTGTTTTGTTTTTTGTCTGCCCAGGGCCACTAAATGTGACCCAGACAGTGAGTGTTAATAAGCATATAGTTTCCCCTATGGCCAGATACAGGGGCAAGAGATTATCAGTTGGGCAAACTCTGCTCTACCTTTTCTCCATTCCAAGTACGGCTAAAAAGGTGTAAAAACCATGTTTGTGATTGAATTCTAAAATAACATTCTTTCCTACATCATAGTGTGGGTATTATTTTGTTGGAAACGAATAACATTTTATTTTCCTTTTTGCAAATCCATTGCTTGCATGTTGAAGAGAAGAGTAGAAAAACTCTTCAGAGCAAAAAGCAGATGACAAGGGAGACCAAGGTTGAACTCTTAAGTTTTACTTGCCCTTGTTTTCTATTGGAGAGTTAACTTTGAAGGAAATTAGGTTGTTGGCCTTTCTTAAAATGGTAAGACAGGATGTATCCCCTCAAAAAGTTGGATCCTTCCTTTTTTCCCCTAAGGCCTAATCCAGAAGCTTACAAGAAAACTACAATAAGACCACATGCAAAAACTAAAAATGAGCTGGGATGTAAAGAGAGGCAGGATTAATCTGATCACTTCCTGTGCAGTCTACCTGCTGAACAAGTAAGGGTAAGGATAACAAAATGGATCCTAAGAGTTGAAATTCTTCTTTCTTCCCACAGAGTGTCACCCTTGCTCCATGTTTATATCGCTTGCCCAGACAAATCTCTCATTACAGACTGCATGCATTCCTCTTGCATAGAATTCGTCAGACTGCATTGCTCACGGGGATACTCTTTGGTGGTCTTTGGAGACTTGGATTTGAATCACCTGGACTCACGTTATTCTCTTTCTCAGCACTGATTTACCCCTCATCTCCTACCTCTCTGTGACCTCCTTTGGCTCCTCCATTCTGCTAGGTTTTTCATTTCTTTCCTACCTTTCTCCTGTGTCATTTCCAAACCATTATTCCCCAGGAAGTAAACAACTAGAAATGTGGCTGTGATTGATGGGCAGACACTGGAACTTCTGAAAAAGAGAGTGACCACAGGCCAAGTGTGAAGAATGGGTGAGATCCTGTGATCCATGTACTCAGGGAATGAACCCTTGTGCAAACTTGTTGACTGTGTGTGTGGGGGGGGGGGGGTCTAACAGCCATGCTTGGAATAGTCACTTACTGAAGTGGAGAAAATCCTGGGTCTCATCAATGCTAATTGAGAGTTCTAAGAAGTAGGGAGAAGTTAATAAATTCTTTTTAGATAGATAGATATTAAAAGATCATTTTTTTCCCCACTTTTCTGGACCTATCAGCCATGGGCACTAACACCTAATTTTTTGTGTTTCTCGGTATAATCATTTCAACTGCTATGTCCCTCAAGTGATCCTGGTCCCCAAGTCATAAAGATAACTGGCTGACACATTAGCATCCAAAATTCTACCTCGTCTCTTCTTGGCTCTTTCTCCATTTCCCGTTCAGTTTTCCAATCCCTACTCATAAAAAGATGGCAGAAGAACTCAGCTTTCTGTTCTCAAAGCCTTAGCATCCATTTTGGACATGAACTTCACAGCAGCATGTGTGGAACAATGAATAATCTTTAGCTTAGTAAACAGCAAAAAATATAATATATAATATATTTATATAATTATGTTTAAATACTTATAAAGAATTAATAACTAACCTCATCATTTTAGAGAGACTACATAAAAGACAGGGGAAGGGCTGGATTAGAGTAGACAAGCCCTGAAAGATGACAATCCATTTGAAATGGTTACTAACAGAGTGTCTCTGGCAACTTCTCTTCTAGTATTTTGATAATATTTTACACACTGGGTGAGGCTGAGCAGTTGACAAGTACAGAGTGGGGAGTTGAGGATGGGTTTGGGTAGAATATAGATAGGGGAGGAGGGTTTTTGTTTATCTATCATATCTCTCCTTCCTCTGTTAATCAATTGCCACATTAAAGAAACTTTTGCCTATTATTCTTCCCTGTTGGAGCTAATGTTTGAGCTACCTACATTTGTTGGCACCTATAAATGTACTCTTGCATTTCTGAAAAGATCCTTTACACTCTCTATTTCCTGCATTTCATGACCTTCCTTCCTCCTTCACCCTTTGTCTCCATCCACGGCAGCTTCTCTCTCTGACTGCCTCCAGGGCAGGTGAGGGAGGAGCTCAGTCCCACAGTTACTGATTTTCTTCTGCCTTGGGGTCTCGGCAGGTACACTCATCCTGGTCACAGTCAGCAACAAATGGAGTCACCTAGGGAAATGGAAGAGTAGTTCAAATAACCCATTTTTAGTGACAAACTTTCAACCAGCTTTCACTTTCTTACTTGGCCCAAAGGAAGTGTGGGGTTATTTTAGATTTGAAGCTAACATGGGGCACTCTTACTTATACATCTTATTGTTTGGGGAAAAGGAATCTTCCCTAGCTTCACTTTTGTTGTAAACAGAGTGAGAAGGACAACAGTGACTACCCCCAGAGAGTGTTTGTGTGGTTTAAATAAACTGATGAATGTAAGATATTTATGTATTGTCAGACACCCATAACTAATGTTAGGAATACTTTGACTGTCATTGCTTCTGTTGTTATTGTCGTCATCTTTATGAAATTCCTGCCCTAAAATGTTTCCTTATATAGAGAAGGCCAAAGATTGAGTAATTTAACCCAGGCTACTGACAGTACTATGTAAAAAGCCAAGGCACTATAGTGTCACAGGTTTCTGACTCCTCCTGCCACTATTCTTGGGATAGTGGGGTCATTGCTGGTATCTTCAAAAGCATGAGGTTGCCAGCTTGGTAAGATAATGCTGCTCTCATCTACGTTTGTAGCTGTCTCTTCTGTGTAATTATCCCTTTTCCATGACAGAGATGGTCTAGCAAAAGTTTCTATCTTCTCACTTATGTTTCTCCTAAAATAAGCACTATTTTTTATGTGTTCATAACTAACATCAAGGAGAATTTGACATTTTGGAAAATGATATGAAAATGACAAAGATTCTGCCTTTTGGGCAGTGACAACCCAAAGAGCTAAAAATAAACAGGCATATCCCATACAGTACTGCTCCAAGGATGATGAAGAGATCGACTTGGTGATTGGGCAAGTGGGTTGGAGACTGGGTGGGGTTGTTTGGGAAAATTTCCCAGCATATTTTTACATATGAAGTAAAATGTGATTTAGTCATCAACAGAGTGGTGATGTCCCTTTACAATCTTGATTCTTGTGTATGCTGGGCACAGGCACTAAAATTCACAAGATAAATCCTGGGTTTGCAGTGTACGGTGAGGAGACAGTTCCTTGCTTTCTTGCTAAGTAATGGTGTCTCCTTTTGTAGAGATGGGTTTCTTGACTAGTTGGTTTCACAGGCAAGATTGGAAACTAGCTGGCTTGATTTGTGACCTGTGGTCCAAGTTCTTGAACTGTTTCTCCTATTTCAGGATTTATTGGTTTTTAAAGCAAAATAGGGCCAAATTGAGCAGTAATATGATGAACTCCTAGGTGCACTGAATTAAATAAGTGAACTCATGAAGGTGGTGAGAACAATGCCCAACACATAGCAAATGATCAGTAACTATTAACAAGAAAGAGATATATTCCGGTCCATATCTAGGTGATCATGGAACCTGTAGTTTTATTGTGGGGATCCCTACAGGGAGGGAAATAACATCTGCCCACTTCTGATTCATCACGTTCACCAACTAACTTCAAATATCTTTTGGGTACTTGGATTTTTATTCACATTATTACAAAACTTTAGCCTATTTGATTTTATAGATTTGATTTGAGCCTATCTACTAATTTAATAAAGCAAAGAATAATAAGGATAAAAAAATTAGAAAAATGGTTCCTGCTCAGAACATAGCCAGGGAGTGCTCCAAGGAACTTGCGGCAGCCATTCGAGATGTACCTGCAATTTATTTACAAGACAGTATAAAAGGCTGCTTAATTATGAGGATGAATAATTACTGGGAAGTATTTCATTGGTAATCCTGAATCTTTAAGGGGTGGATACCATTATTGTCCATGCCTTCAGAGAAGATTTTTGGACAATCACAAGCAGGTATGAGGCTTTCCGGAGGGGGAAAAAAAGCCTTTGCTATTCTGATGGATTGATAATTTAGAACACTAGTATTTCCTGAGACCCTGTACTGTACACCAATACCCTTAATCATGACACTTTATAATCTCCAATTATACTTCACCATTTATGTCTCTGGATCATTGCATAAGAATCAAATATGATACAAGGTGAAGGAGAGACAGCCAAAGAGCCTACCTTAATTCCTGAAGCTACTGGGTCTCCCCTTTCCCTGGCACCTTTGCTTACCTTCTTGGAGGACAGTGTGGAAGAGCAGCAGTCTCCTCCATCATAGTTGCAGTAGGCACGGTTGTTAATCGTGTCACACCAACCATCTGCTTGGAAAGGCTAGACAGGAGTTGAAGTCAGTGTCTCAGGACAGCTTCTCAGTGCCACATCCTACTCATCCACCCTAACTACTTACAAAACCCGAGGGCCAGGATATGTTCTCAAGAAGCTGAAAATATTAAGCTAAAACCACTAGTGCTGAGGTACTGTCAAATTTCACCTGTAACACCTGATCCGGGACTTCTACAATGGTAAAGATGAGTCATTAAATGTCCTGATCAAATTGTTTTGCCTTCTCACAATGAGAGGTTTTTATAAGTCATAGATTAAAGTAAGTTTTACACATTTAAATTCTGTTGGCTATCAATAACAAAAAAACTTATTAATTTTTTTTTTTTTTTTTTGGCTTAGTGAGACAGAGTCTCACTATGTAATCCAAGCTGGCCCCGTACTCAGTCATAGTAATCCTCTTGCATCGACCTCCTGAGTGCTGGAATTACAAGTATTCACCACCATGCCTGCCAGAATTGGCTTTAAACATCCCAATTCATCAGTGCATAAACACAGAGTCACAGACATGACAAGTCACACAGCTAGGGTCATACAGAGCTCACTTGGCATTAGGTGTCACCTATTATGCCTCTCAAAAACCAGACCCTCAGGCCTTCTTCTTGTGCACTAATGATTGGCACTTAGAGACCTAGCAGTGCCATCCTTGTAAGCTCAAGGGATGTCTACCAGTGTGCAGTGATCCTAGGGTTGAGCACAGGAGTGCTGGAACAGAAATAGTCCTGTGTGTTCAGTTACCTGACACAGAGCATTTAGACTCAGAGTCAGACACCGCTAAACTACAACCATCTACTCTTACTTGTGCAAGTTAACAGGAACCAAAATGGGAAAGTGGCCCAGAAGAAACCAGAGTTAATGGAGTGTGTGATAAGAACAGCAACAAGTGGTTAAAAAACAGCTAAGTAGCCTAATGCTTTGTTTCTGCAGAGAGCTAGCTGTGGAGCAAAACACTGTCCCACAGCACGTTGGGAGGTCCGTCAGCACCCTCCTCCCAAACACGCACACTCAGTAACATCGGTTGCCCACTATTCTGAGCTAATGCCCAAATGTAAACTCTCTGGAACCATCTCACAAAGAAACTCCTGGGGTCCCAGAGCTCTACAGTTCTGAGGTCACATTCCAGTTTATTTGTTGAAATCACTTTTTCTGCTCCCACCCTCTTTAAATGTTAAATGGAAGACTATTCCCTGTTTCACTGTGCTTTGATGAGATGGATCACTCAACTAAAAAATGGACATTAAATAATTTTTAGCAATTGAGTTACGTCAGAACAACCTTATCCAAGTTATTACTTCAATGTTTTGATTTATTCTATGGGGTCCTGAGGTCATTTGAACATCTCATTCCAGATGTATACCAGTTTGCCAACCACTGAAAAGCTGCTACTTGTGAGGTGGAACTCAACAGCTGTTACACAGCTGCACAGCAACGTCAGTTGAGAGCAGGAAGTGAAAATGAATTCTGTTTTCAACACAGGCCTGACTGGGATAACAGATAGAGATTCTAGGATAAGTATTAGTCTTCAACACAGTTCATGCCAGTTACTTTGGCTCTAGAGAACTTGAAACAACTATACAATCAGGATTTGGATTTAAAATTACAGTTAAGTAATTGCAGTCAAAAAACAACTCAGACATCCTTATCACCTTTTCCAGGGAGAATCAGAAACATCTAGTAAGTTTCCCTAGCTTTTCTTTTCTTCTTCTTCAAGTATTTGGAGTATATTTTACTCTCAGCTAGCACTACATCTGTTGCTTTTCCTCCATCCTTGACTGACTCATTGGCAAAACTTAATCTGCTCCTTTTCCATGTAATTTTCTATAAACATCTACAGAGTATCAAAAATACTTTTCCTACACATGCAACTATGCTCTTTATAACATAGAATGAAAGGTAAGGAATAAAGTTATCCTTCTTTTCATAAATAATGACCTACACTTTTGAATGGGTTTAGCAAAGAATACTGAGAAATCTTTGCAGTGTCTTCAGCATGGATGGATTTTCATCCCAAGAGCACTACTGAAGGTATGTTGAGAAATTAGTGACCTGACTCTGTGATCGTCACTAAGTCCTATTGACGGCAATATCTCCAATGATTTCTAGAAATATCTTTTTTTTTTTTTTGTCTTTTAAATTTTTTTTTTTATTTTAAAGAGATTAAGACTAAAGAGGACATAACAAAGAAGATCAGAACATGTAAGCAACACAGTATTTCACCACAAGACAACCCGATATTAACAGTAGCTACCATAATGTCTTTTCTGGGCTTAATAGGTCCTCTGATTAGAGAAGAAACTTCATTTTAAAAAAGTTTGGAAAGACCCAAGCATTTAATGTACAATATACCTATTAGATTTAATTGCTCCTCCCCCGTCCTGCCAAAAACAACCACTCCACCCTCAACAAACAGTGTTTTCCATGGTAACGTGTGCCTGGAAAGCTTGAAGCTTGAGTCCAAAGTTACAATGGGAAAAATAGGAAGGGAAAACTAATTGATTCAAAGTTTGAGAGCATCTAAAGACTCAGTTTATACTAGGGTATGCTAATCCCAACAACTGAAGGTGTCAGACTGGGGACAATGCTCTTCCTGCAGCCAACTTTCTCAAGCAAGGGCAGTGGGCTTGATTACTAGGCAAGCTATGCATGTGGGTGATCCCACATGCACACACTTGCTGTTTATTCCATAGTGGCAGAAAACAAAGTGTTTCACACAGTACATTTTTCAAACACTTTTCAAACTTATTCTCTAAGAGGTCACTTTTACTGATATTTTAACCATTTTGATGAAAGAAAAAGTCTTTAGAAAATGCCTGTTTACTTACCTTTTATCCACTTACTGGACACAAAACAATCAGCATGAAATTTATTTTTTTCACTGTGAGGGAAGGCTCTCCTCCTTACTAAGTGTGCCTCCTGCTTACACACACACACAGACACACACACACAAGCACACACAGGGAGACTCTCTTTTCTCTCTTTCTGTGTGACTAATCTTTGAGATACACAAATTCAAGCCTTAGAAGTACACCTAAATACCTAAATAGGACAGCCTGGATTACTGTTAGGATGCATGAGCTTTGTGATCTCTAATTGATTGTTACAAAGCTTTTGTCATGCAAGCCTCCTGGTGTTCCTGAATTTCAGGAAGTTTAAAGGGTCTAACAAAGGGATATGTGTAAATGGTGGAACACTAAGAAAAAGGTGGTTTGAAGATCTCCTAAATACAAGCATAATTTCTTCATTATGTATTAATGAAAGAGTTTTGGCCCACGCCGGACATTGTAGCTGGAAAAGCCTCAGGCGGAACCAAGGAGCTCCATCTCCCCCACCTCTAGGAATCTGCCCCTGGCGCCAAACCAGTGCCAATGAGATACCTGTGCATCTCTAATGGCCCTAGGGCATCACCTTAAACTTAGGCTATTTATATACCCCCACGCCAAGTGTCCACCAGAGAGAAAGCCAGACTCCAGCAGTTGGGTTTTTTTTGTTTGTTTGTTTGTTTTGTTTTCTCTCTCCGCGTTCTCAGAACAAAGGCCTTTTTTGTTTTATACTTCTTATCTTTTGGACGCAATATTTAATCTTACCAATTAATACCTTTATTCCAGGAGAGGGTTTCTTATAATAGAATGAGTTCATCCCTCTTTAGCTTAGTGATAGTCCCCGTTTTAAAGATTCTCCGTCAAGAGATAAATGGTGGTTCTTTTGGTGGTATTTTAGCTCAGTGTGACAACTCAGTGCTAGGATCAAGATGCAGACAAATGAGAAGAATCTAAGCCAGATTTATGGGGTCAGGAGAGTCTGCTTCAGGAGTTGGTTCTGCTACATCTAGCTCCTATGGAAAAGAGCTTAGGGCTGGATAATGCTGAGGGGGAAAAACCTGAAAAAACTAAGAAGAAGAAGAGGATGAAATAGATGGAACAGGAGTTCTATATAGCTATTACAGAACCCACTCTCAGGGAGAGTTCCACAAACTTTAACTAATTCGTTGATAACAGTGTATCTCCCTAACCTGAATCAGACTAAGGAATTTTTTCCCTAGACATTTTAATAGAACTTGAGAGCATGGTGATGTTTTACAAAGGCAGTTTGGATTCAGTCCTTTGCTCTGCTAAGCTGCAGGTTGGAATCTCAGTCCAAAGTGACTGCATGCCTACAGGTAAAGCGGGGGACAGGATACTGTTTTATTATTTTGAGGAGTATTTTAGATCAGTAGAAGCCGTTAATCACATTTATGCCTTACTCCAAACACTATTTTCTCTCTATATATATCATTTCTGAGCAAACTTCCCAGTTACATAAATGAGAATCAGGAGAGGTTTAACTCAGCGGTCTAAGTGCCCACTTGGCAAACGCAAAGTGGTGAGTTTGAGTCCTGGTACCAAAAAAAAAAAAAAAAAAAAAAAAAAAGAAGTGAGAATCACAATCACAATCACATCCATTTCTTCATACTAATTAAGTTATTTCATGCCCTAGAAGAGCCCTTTCTAAAGCAGCTTTGTACAGCACTCCATGGACTCACAGCAGAAGGAAGCACTGTGTCCATATAGATGATCTGTGTATTAATTCTATATTTTTGTTTAGTTCTTCAACAAGTAGTGCTATTTTGCCTTATCTTAATTCTTCTCATCTCATATGCTGTGATTTCAATATTTGTGCCCTTCCAAACTCAAGTTAAAACATAATTGCCTTTGCAACAATATTTAAAGATGAAGTCTTCAAGAGGTGAGTCAACCTTGAGAATTCAGTACCCCTTTACTCCAACCCTGCTTCTCTCTCTCTCTCTCTCTCTCTCTCTCTCTCTCTCTCTCTCCCTCTCTCTGTATCTTTCTCCTTCCTTCTCTTCTGATTTTCTGTCATGAGATGTTAGATCAAAAAATTGTTTACCATTTACTGGTCCTTTGATCTTGGACTTCCCAGCCTCCAGAAATGTGAGTATACAAATTTCTGTCTATTGCAAATTGTTCAGATCCAGATATTCTGTTGTATCAATG